AAGCTTGAGGGCAGTACTTTTTTTCAACCAAGTTAAGTGCAAGCCCCACCACACAGCCATATCATAGATTTTCACATCAATCAGTTTTGATTTACCCTAACTTAACATAAGCATAGCTGCATATCCTGATAAACAACAGCTTTACTTTTAACCATGTGAACTGAATCTACAAATCTGACCTTTTCTTGACAGTTGGCTACCTGATGAACCAAAAAGTCAACTGTTTGGTGGGGTTCATGATTAACAGGTTTGGGGGGACATTGCGTCAGTACATCTGGTGTTTACCTTATTAAGAGAAACTAAACATTCATTCTAAATTTCATATTAATATAAAAACACAAGCTACAACAATATTTCAACTTAATATATATTAGATAAATATAAAATAAAAAACTGAACATAAAAAGGAACACATGGAATGCAAAATAAACATTACTTACTCTCAAAAGAACAGCATGTAAAAGAAAGGCTGTTTGAAATAATTTATGGAACTGACTCAGACTGAAATCGTTTTATCAAATGGTGCATGTTGTAATAAGTTTAAGTCTGCAAGGTGAATGTAGTTTATATAATGGATCTTACTCTGGCCCATAAGTAGTGGTATAGAAAAATCAAGAAAAGTAACATTTTGCTTTAACTTACATTGACATGAAATGTTACTATACTTCCATGATACTTCCTGCATGTCACCAACTCAGTAACCTTTTTATGCATTGAAGAAACATGAAAGTGCATGTAGCATTTACTATACATTTCCATTTAAGTTTCCTATTGTGAAAATGTATCTAAATGAGCCAATATTTTACCCTTTAACCTCAAAAAAACTCCCTAAAACTGATCCAAGACAGACACATACTCCCCAATTGCCCATAAGCCAATGTTAGCACAACTAGAGTGCTCCATAAGTCTTGGGATTTCTCACCAAAAGAGCCCCTAGTGTGCTGTGAAGTAAGCACCAGCTATCCTCAGGAATTACAAACAGAACTGTAATATTTATTTACAGTTTATTAATGAAAATGCACAAAGTGGTCAATGTCTTGAGACCAATATTGTCATGACATCCCATTCAAAACAGCTCTGCAAAAGAGGCACTCTTTGCAAAGCGAGACTAACATCTATGTTGCGAGTCTGCTTCTGTGGCTTTATTGTAGTAATGATAAAAAAATGCATATTTACTTTATAGCTAAGTATTTTTACACCATAGAATAAGTTTGCATTGGCTAAAACTGTTGTTGTCCTGAGTATATAATAGAAAACATTGGTTTCAGGACATCAACACCTTGATGACCTATTTAGATTACCAATTAATCACATCTGAAAAACATCTACAGGTCATGTCAGTTCACAATAACAAAAATCACATCTCTATAATTAAAAAAAAACCTAAATAGATAGATCGCACAAAACTGAAAATACCATCATCATTTATTCACCTTTTATTTATTCAGATATTTTCAGAATAACTTTATTATTCAGGTTTTCTTCTGCAAATAACAAAAAAGATCGTTTGTTTTCAGCTTTCTACAGCTTTTCTTACTAAAGAAAAATCAGTAACACTTTAGTTTAGGTCACAATTCACAGTATTAACAAACCATCAACTAGCACTACTAGCATAATAAGCTACTAATAAACCGTTCATTAATAGTTAGTAAGGTAGTATTTGTGTTTATGTTTTGGCTAGGATTAATGATGTAGAATTAGATCATATTTTATAACTATTAATGAACAGTAATAACTTAATAATAGGCAGGTAATAAGCTAGTGATTAATAGCATGAATTGTGACCTGAACTAAAGTGTTACCAAAAAATCTTCTTTAGTGTTTAACAGGATTAAAAAGCTTCATTAGAAAACATTTGAGGGATAATAAATAGTGAAAGTTTTTGGGTGAACTAAACAATCATGAAAAATCTCTTTATTTGATGACTAGTTTTGGCCAATTCTTAGACGTCTATTAGATTTTCACTGACAGGACAAGATTAGCCTTGTTTAAGCCAAGACGACTATGTTTAGACGTCGATTAGACATCTATTAGACATCTTTTTTTTTAAAAAGTGTGCTGGGATCCCTTTAACTGAATTTAAAAACATTTTCTTTTCGGCTTAGTCCCTTTTTTAATAAGGGGTACAGAGCGGAATGATTCAGCACATGTTTTATGCAGCGGATGCCCTTCCAGCTGCAACCCATCTCTGGGAAACATCCATACACGCTCATTCCCAGTCATACACTACAAACAATTTAGCCTACCCAATTCACCTGTACCGCATGGCTTTGCACTGTGGGGGAAACCGGAGCACTCGAAGAAAACATAAAAACAGTATTAATTATTACAATGAATCAAAAAAACTCTTCAAGTATCAAAATAACACTACTTTGCGATCCAACTTCACAATCTATATCGATTCACAAAAATAACTTCGTAAAATGTCACAGACGCCTCTACAACAAGACACAAGTGTGCATCATATGTTCTGCATGTGAAACATGTTGTCTTGGAAATTCAAAGCAGACAGAAACAACAATTTAAAAAAAGAACAGAGTGGTCAACAAAAGTCCCGGTCTAAACATATGGGTCACGTTAACTATTAACAGATATAGTCGTCATCTCCCCCCTGCTGACCCGCCTCAGGTCAAATGTGCTAGCATTCCTGTTCCTGACCTCAGTGTGACAGCTGACCCGCTCATACCTGACCACCCCTGATGGCTGCTCTGCCATCAGATCCCAATATTAATCTTTACATCCATCCAAACCTTTCCCTACTGTCCACACCACAGCCCACTTCTAAAACGGCCAGACGCCCAACTGAGCTGAACCGGTACAGAGAGAATGACTAAAGGTCAAACCGGACATCTGTTACGTGTCAACTGTGAAAAATTGCCAGCTTTAACAAAACACAGAAAGACAAATGAGCTGTGTTATTTGTGTGGTGCTGTGAAGGGAGGAATGTGGGAAGTGCTGATGAAGAGGAGGCCAGATTTTCTTCAAACTCGAAACTGATTCTCAAAGAACGGACTGGAAGCGTACCTTTGGAAGAAGTGCTGGGGTGGCGTTTGTTTAGCGCTCTCAGGCCCTGCAGTGGGATGTCGCCGCCCTCCAGGACGCTCTTGTAAATGTGTCGTTCACATTCTGGAGCTGCCGACCCGCTGCCGGACGAGCCGTCCTTCTTCTCTGCTTCACCGTCACTCACTTTACAGGATGAGCTGAGCACAAATAGAGACTTGCATAAATCATCATCCTCACACGACATGGCTGAAGAGAACAGAATACTAGGGCAGTGTCGTATTAAAAGACACTGCTTGTTATTATATGCGTACAGAAACTCTATACCTAAAAATATGTCAAATAATATATACAATAATATGTTGAATAATAATACATAAAAACCCAATTTACTAGAGCAGAACAAATCATACATTATTATTATTATTATTATTATTATATTTTATTGTTATCATTGTAATCATTAATACTATCTTTATTCACAAACTGTGGATATATATTTTTTTCCATTTTTTAATAAACTTAAAAGATTTGTTCACCCAAAAATGAAAGTTCTGCAAAACTGTAACAAATTTGTTCGCCAATATAAAGTTCCGACAGTTATTTACATTCATGCCCTATCCAGTCTATGGAAGATGAGGGAGATCTCACATTCCATTTAAAATGATTTTATTTTGTGTCTGAAGATGAAAGAAGATCTCAGGGGATTGAAAATCAGAAATGCCCATACTCGGTCGTGGAGGGTCGACGTCATGCAGAGTTTAGATCCAACCCCAATTAGACACACCTGAACCCGCTGATCAAGTTCTTACTAGGTTAACTAGAAACTTCCTGGCAGCTGTGTTCAGTGTTGCCAGACATAGCAGACTTTCCAGCACAAAAGTAGTCCAAAACCCACCCCAAAAAAGAAAAAAAAGAAAAAAAAAAAAAAAAAAAAAAAAAAAATATATATATATATATATATATATATATATATATATATATATATATATATATATATATATATATATATAATTCAGTCACAGAACCACATCATAACTGGATCATATTGAAACACCCCCCTCTCACCCACACATATAATAAATATGTATATTTATTATAGGTATAAATTCATCCCATTTGGCGTTTTAAATTTGTTTGAACATAATTAGGAGCTGCTTGTCAATAAGACAACGCTTCTATGTTTGTTCTTGCTGTCAATTGCGGATTATTATTATTATTATTATTTATTAGTCTTGGGGGGTTTAAGTAAGCCTGTGTTTGCTCTTTGATATAGATGAGACAGCACCAGCTGCTCTGGCCCTTATCACAACATTCCTGAGGGGCCTGTGTGGCATCCTTTAAAAAACATGCTGAAGCTTTCCACATGTAGCCATTCCTCACTGTGTGCTCACAGGAAGCCATAAAGGAGTTATTTAGGGATGCACAACTACAGTAAGTTTTCTTTTGTCAGGTCTTCCCATATAACCAGCTCAAGTCAGTCTTTAGTCACAACTTTTACAGCTGCTGTATGTTGATATAAGGAAAATGATAGCATGTCATGCTTATTTAACAATATGATACTTTACGGTGTGTAATAAAAATACTAATATGACCTGTATGATGTCCAGTAAATCCTTGCTATGTTAATAACAGCTCAGATTACAGTGCTAGTTGTTTCAAACGAGTCTAAACTTTAAAAATAAAGGTATTGCTGTTTCCTTGAAGAACATTTAACAAACAAACTTTGATAAAATAAGATTCTTTAGATTGTTATTAAGTTATTTTTGCTAAGAAAAGCATGTTTCTTATCGTTCTCTAAAACATTCTTTGAGGAACCAAAATGGTTCTTCAGTGGGATCACAAACTTTTGCAACTTTTTTTTATTATTTCTTAATTCCACTGTCTGAATAAATCGTCAAAACAAGACTGGAAAAACTGTCCAACATAACTTAAAGTTACTGGTTAACAAAAATAACTCACAAGTCATTTTGGAGGGAATTTTAACCATGGCAAACATGTGCAGACAATACTCCTATACATCAGCCGGTCTGATTCACATGGAATCATATTAAAAGTTACTACCTAACATGCGCATTAGCATACTTTCCTACCTTTTCACATTTGGAAACAATAAAACAGCCATTATTCAACAACTAAAAAAGGCGTGTGTGTACAAGACGCTGTTCTTTATGGATTATTCCACCACACTGTACATGTAATAAAGCGTAGATGAATGACATCACTCCTGGGATGTATGGGATGCTTTCCGGCGGAGCGGTGTGAGGTGAGCTCACGTCATTCCAGACCCCGCTGGCTCCAAACTCACGAACCTGAGCAGCTGCCTGACAACTGATGGTCTTACCAGATTTATCTGACCATTACTAAAGCTGAGCAAAGTGTTCTCATGCTGTTCGGCTCCAGGATCTGCTTGCCATAAAGCAGAACTATGTTTCTCTCAGGGTTATACACTTACTTTGGGTTTGTCTCTCAGACATTCCTCAAGTCATGAGAGCATATTTTTGGTTTAGTGTTTTGGCTGAACATTAGTTGGCCTCCTGGTTTATAACTGAACCATGTGGCTTTTGATAAAACAATAAACTCCACATCCAAACATTAAAAATATCTTCGTACCACTGAGAAGTCTGCTAGGCTGAAAGCATTTGCGGTAGATTGTAAAGAGAAATGAAAATACCACTGAAGATTCATTCCCTCATTTGTATGTTTTACCGTTCAATTTTTGGCGAAAGAAACAGGGGAAAATGTTAAACTGATTTAACTAATGAATATGTTTGTTTAATGTTCAGATTCCACATATTTTCCCCCTTAAGAATGCTTTTAAAGTAGGCTTACGTGACATTAAATTGATTGTATTTTTGTTGGGCAAGCTTTGCTTGATATTTCAGATGTTTTTTTTTTTAGCAAATATTGACGTTAAGATCAAAATGTTTTACCCACAGGCACAGTGCACTATTTAGAGTATCCATGTAACAATGTTTGACAAATAATAAAAAATAGGGATGTCCAGATTTGATCACGTGATTGGAAATCGGGTTTGATCATGCAGTTTCAGACTCGATCAGAATTGGATGTTACCTCCCGATCAAAACTCGAATATATATATCATATGTATGTACTGTACATATATATTCTCATGATTTTTTAAAACATCTATAGTTATGCGGCGGCACAGAGTTAGACCTCTTTCTTGACTTCACACATAAACAGCAAAGCATGTGACATAACATTACTTTGTAGCAGAGACGCTATTGGTTAAATGCATTTTTATTATAATGTACAGCAATGATCCAAAACCTTTATTGTCAGTCATATTCAGGTAAAGTGAATATTGATGAACATTTCTTAGTCCTAACAAGACAATATATTACAATGTGCATATCAGATATTAAGAAGTTTATCAGTTGTCGTAATTATCGGATGCGGGAGAAATAGTCTCCCACTGGGGCACTTTAATTTGTTTATTTTTGTTTAAATACCTTTTGGGCATATAAATTTGCTGTGCTATTTGTATTTGTATATATTTAAAATTGATGTTCTCTATTACTTGATGGTTCAAGCTACCTCGCAGAAGTGATCTTGTTTACGGAGTTGTTGAATGTTAAAATAAGATGAATCAAAATAAAAAATTAAGGAACATTCTGGATCTGTTTCTTCGCTCCTCTTTATTGTTTTTTTATGTATTATGGAAGTATCAGATTGGGGTTTTGTTATCAGTAGATACATAAAATCACTCATACTCAGACTTGAGAGCAAAAAAACCTGATCGAGACGTCCCTATTAAAAATACAAAACAAATTTCTTATTTTGTGGTTTTATATATTATAATTGAATTATTATTATTATTATTATTATTATTATTATTATTATTATTATTATTATTATTGTTATTATTATTATTTATTTATTTATTTATTTATTTATTTTATTTTATTTTATTTTATTTTATTTTATTTTATTATCACATTTTATTTTGATGGTCCGTTTGTTAAATTTAAGTTACATTGCATCTACACGCCAACTAATCCACCATTAGATTATAAGCAGATTGTTAGGTTGGGGTTAGGGATGGGGTTAGTGTAAGTTGACCTGTACTTGCAAAGACATAAAATACTTTTTGTATTATAAAATAATACAATATTAAAAATAATTTGTATTGTAAAATAATTTTGTGGTAAAGGAAAAAAAACTGTACTGTATTTATTTATCAAGGTTTTTATATAATTTGAAATGTTGTAAAATAGTTTTAAGCAGGAGAAAAACCTGTACAGTATTTTATTTATCAAAGATTTTGTGCAGCTGTTTATTTGTAAACAGGGAGGAAAACCCATGTGTTTGAATTATAGTTTGCTAAAAAATGTTTAATAACATTTTAATACAGGTTTTAACTCTCAATTAACCATTTATGGGAAAATACCGGATAGATATTGTATATGTTATTCCTCCTAAAAATACCGGGATATGATATTTTGCCCATATCGCCCAGCCCTAGGCAGGATCAACAGATATTAAGCAGACAGTCTACTAATACTCAAATGGACAATCAAAATAAAGTGTTACCATTATTATAATGTTATTATTCTTTTGTTATTATTCATTATTATAATTATGTTACAATTTCATATCTACTTTTCAGTGTAATTGACTTTTAAAGTAATAAAATAATTAGCATAAGAAATAAATGTAAATTAATAAATGTTTTTATGGTGGCAAATTATATTAAATTATAAAAAGGCACAAATAATTAAAAATTAAGCTAGGTTTTTTATTTATATAAACAGGTCTTCAACTGTAAAGACATAATAACAGTATCCCATCAATGTTGTGAAGGTGTGATCACACTAAATATCAAATCTCCAGGATAAACTGTCAATAACTAAATTCACTTTCAAAAGGAGCACGCTAAGAATTGGGGGATTTCTGCTCACAGAATGGGTGGAGGTACAAGGTCCCTTATCTCTCTTAAAAAGACATCCAGGTCTTATTTTCAGCCGCCAGTCTTAGAACAAAACAAATCATCACACTCTCCATGACCACGAACACACACACATATATCACACGAACACATCGACAGGACAGCCAGCATTGCAAATGGTCGTTCAGGAAACAGCAAAAGGAAATGAGGGAAATCTCCAGAGCCCCTGTGACAGCTCTGTCTGAGAATACATGCGGGAGAGCAAGACACACACACACAAACACACAAAATGGTGGAGAGGAACATATGTGAGAGGGAGAGAGAGAGAAAAAACATATGAGTATGGACTTACTATTGCTGTAGGTCGGAGGATGTTTCCAGGGGGCTGAAAGAGGGGGCACTCTGCAACAAACCAAACAAAGAAGTCATTGATAGCTCCAAAGGCTTGACTCTCTGGCAGCTGGAAAGGGAGAAGGCGCATTAGTCAGTCAGGCTTGAGAACGTCTGCTGCCTTCAAAGCTCTGAAACTCTTAGGTCCTCCGGACGAAGCGTAGCGTGGACAAGTAAGCAAGTATTTTGGCCTGCATGCAAGTTAGCGGGGAAAACAAGCGACAGGGAGTGAGGGGTGGGATTAGCAGGGGATGTGAGGGGCGCCCATTTTGGGAGGGGGCTGTCAGTGCTTCCACCAATCGGCTGCCGTCTCTCGCCGAGGTTCTCTTTTGTCTGCTATTGAGTCACTCTCATTACTGGCCGGCCAGACAGAGAGACAATTAACCAGCTGGTGCAGGAAGCGGGCCAAATTACATGGGCAGACCAAGACGAACGCTCAAATAGATTTACACACATATATTGAGGGTATCACTAGCGACAGATCGGACATGATGTACAAAAATCACAGGGGTGATATTATTAGCATGGCAAAGGAAGTTCACATAATGTATGTAGTAACTGAATGAGGATTATGTAATTAGGAATCAGGAAATATAAATTCTTGTCATTGGATTATGCTTTAAAATGCTTATAATCAAATTACAGCTATATTTTTATTTTAATATATTATATATGTATATTTTATTTTTGCACATTATTCACATATTATTTTTAAATAAAACTTATTAATGCTCCTCTATATAAATTATCAACGAGTATAAACATAAACACTGAAGACCTGCTTTATAGTAGAAATTGATGTTCAATTCTAATTGAAAGCAATAATGACAATTTTTTTTCTTTCAGGTTTAATACTGTAATGCTGTTTACTTTAACCTATTTTTTATACATTTTTAAAATACATTTTTTGCCACTTTTTAGAATTTGTGTGTAAGAGATAAAGCAATTTATTATTTCAAAAGAACTTCTTGAAACTTGAAATTATGTGACCAGTAAACTTGACTGGAGTGCCAAAATGCATATTCAATATATACACTGCCAGTCAAAAGTTCGGGGTCAGCTTTCTTTCCATGTTTTTTGAAGATTTTTTTTCTGTTCATCAAGGTGGCCTTTATTAAATCTAAAAAATTGGTAAAATGCTAAATATTTGGTACAAATTTAAATAACTGGTTTCTTATTGTATGTAGTTTCAAATGAAATTATTACTCCAGTCATTATTAATTTTATTACCATTACCATTTATAATAATCATAATAATAACAATAATAATAATCATAATCACAATGATTATGAGTGATTTCTAAAGGATCATGTGACTGAAGACACTTTTTGAACAGTTATTTTACTTATGCACTTATTTTATAGTGCATTTACACTTCACAATATTATGTTTTTTACTGTATTTTTGATTAAATAAATGCTGCCTTGGTGAGCAGAAGCTTATTTTAAAACATTTAAAAATACTCACCCCAAACTTTTGACCGGTACTGTACACTCACATCACTATTATTGGATGTAAGGCATCATTATAAATATCATATTTACACACATCCTCTTTACTGCATCAATGGCACAGGGGTGTATACTACACTGTAAAACCCAAAAAGTTAAGGTAACTTCAACCATTTGAGAAAACTGATCGCAAAAAAAAAAAAAAAAACAACACACATTTAAGTTCAAAAACTAATCCTAATGAGTACTGTGAACTTAATCCCTATGAGTAAACAAAGTTTTACTTTGAGCACAGTATAACCTAATAAATAAAGAAAACTCAAACCAGCTGAGTACTGTAAAACCCAATAAGTTAAGACAACTCAAACCGCTAGAGTAAAAAACTAATCTACATGAGTCCTGTGAACTTACTCTATTGACGTAATGAGGTATTTAATATACTCATTACCTTCAACACTGAGTTCAAAACTCTTTTCAAATGAGTAGAAATAGCTTTTAGTAAATTTTGAGCTAGCTACAATAATTTCATTTGATAAAGTTGACTGTTGGGTTTTACAGTGTACTGCCCATGTATTTAAAAAAAATTACCCCTAAAAGATTTTTAAAAATTAAATAAAAATTTTTTTTTTACATTTTTTATAACTCACAAAGCGCCCCTCAAACTTTTTGTGTGGTATTGTAATCTGCAGTAAGTTAGGTAAAAAGCAATCTACAAGAAATCAAAAAGTAGTCTGAATACTTTGTGGAATCTAACATATGTAATCAGTTCCAGAATACAATTTACTAGCCCTGTCTGCAATGAGCCAATAAAAAGAGTGTCTGTTATTGCCGGGCAGCAACTCTCTATGGCAGATCAGAGAGAGCCATTCACCGGGACGGCTTGTACTCCCCCTCACATTTTGAATGGTTTAGAGACGTCTAATTTTAGGCCGCTGTTTCTGTTGCTTTTCCCCAACTGCACGTCACAGATAGCAAATATATGGCAGCACACCTCCAAAGGAAAAAAAAAAGCACAAGTGGTGTTTGCAAATACGATTGCACAATCCCAGCCTTCAGAAAAATGCCACATGCATGCCAGCCCCCCACAGCCCCCTCTGGTGACCCACAGAGGAAAAGTTCAACTCCTGACCGCAACATGTTCATCCCATCGGTTGCTGGGGTAAAGAGGATCACGAATAACCTTCGCCAGCGAACACAGGCTTTGTGTTTGAATATCGCTCTATTTATACAGCGTCATGTTCTAGAAGTTTTGTTTCCCGAGGAACACCCAGTGACATAACAAACCACTATTACGTGTGCAAAAGTGGCCTCTAGTATTTTGGTCCCTTTTTTCCCTTTTTTCCTTTTAAGAAAACAGCCAGCACAGCATCCCAAGAGGCTTTCGCACGAGACTTGGCACAGATTATGGGGAAAAGCAAACAGGAAACATGCATGAAAGCCTTATCTTAAGTGGCACGCATCTTAATCTAAATCTTTCTGACAGCCAGGACAATACCTTAGTGTGATGCAGCTGTTGAGATGAGACAATAAGAAAGAGAAATTATGGCATTAGAAGACATATAATCACTGTTTCTGGCATTATTAAGTACATATAACTTCCCACACATATATGAAAAGTGTTTAGGCAAGATACTGCAGATGAATTGAGTAAAGAATAAAAAAGGCAAATTAAGGTCACAGGTTGATTGATTACATTAAGAATTGCAACGATTTTTTTGTATTACAAGTTTTCTAAAATGTTATGTTTACATATGCAAATGAGGCATTATGCAATTAAATCTGCATTAATTGCCTTACAATTCAAGCAAATCTGGGCAAAACAACAAAAAACAAAAGTGTTGTCTCTAGGCTACGAACACTCATCTTAACTAAAGGTATAGCATTGCTTAAGGTTTACTTTCTTATATACAATCCCTGCTGAATTGTTTGATGTGTTAAAACTGCAAGGAACTGTTTTTATATATTATGTATTAATATAAAGGGTATTGAATTGACATTTAAATGTTACATTTATTTTTTTGTCATTTTCTCTGTAAAACGGAAAATATTTTATATGACAAGATATTTAGTAATGAGCCCAGCATCTGTATACTTTTAAATTATTGCAGCTGCTCCTAAATTATTGCTATAATGGGTTAGGGTATTTTAATATTGTGCAAATTAAATTTTACTGAAAGTTTTGTAATGAAATGTTTAGCATTTTGTTTGTGATAATAATGCTCTAAAAATTACACATGTAGCCTATAAAAAAGAGGGAGATGTAAGAAGCAGAATTTTAGTGCTAAGGGTTGTGTTTGTTTCTACAAAGTTAAGTTATTATTATTATTATTATTATTATTATTATTATTATTATTATTATTATTATTATTATAGCTTCTTTCATGGTAGCCAGGGGACTCGATTTTTCTGGTGGTGCCATCTTTAGATTTAGCTCTTTACAGCTGTCACCAACCTTCCAAATTTTAAAAATGTAAAAAATGTAATCTTTGAAGGACAATTCTTTATTATAGCTTAATTAAACACTGGGTGTATATAAAATTAAATAGTTATTTTCATAGACCTACTGTAAAAAAGCTTTGATAAGGTACTGTATAGCTAAGAGTCCAGACGGAAAGTATGACTTACCCTCTTTAAATCATACTTTATGTCATACTTTGACTTAAAGAGGGTATATAAGCGGGAAAAACATATTAGTAATAGCATAGCCTTAAGAAGGTTGCGAGAAACATAGCCCTGAACATTGGATGAGTTATGTTTAAACCTCCTGTTGATTCCCTTTTTGTGACATTTGAATGAAAGTAAAAATTTGAGTAAATGTCAGAATTTTTACTTAGGGTGAACTATCCCTTTAAGGCACAAATGTATACAATATATAAAAATAAAGTTCAAACGTAAGAACAAATGTATTCTACAGCTGCTTGCTATAACCCATAAATGCATGATTTTTTGCCCCCAATTATAACTTTTTCAGGTCTTTAGTAACCCAGAGATACCTAACGCCGATGGATTTTTAACTAATATATTGCATTGATATTTCAAAACAATTACAAATGAATAATTTTTGGAGCTTCATTTTTTACCTAGAGGGTTTTAGGAATCTTTTTTATCATTAAAATTATTCATTTATTCAGAAAATACTCAGAAGAGTCATAACAGGCTTTAAAAAATATGGGATGTAGCGAAAATCTTTAGAAACAAATTAATAAAATATGACAAAAGAAACACTTAAAACTGAATTTCTGTTGTTTTCTTCACATTAGACTGTAAAAACACTTTAGAAAAAGCCAGAAAGTCCATGATTAACTCTCTTTAAAGATGCATAGCCATAAATAAAAGCCATAAATAGATTTTTTAAATCATAGTTTATCCTTAACTGTGAAGAGGACTGAATGACTCTTAAGTTAACAGAAAACTGACTCACAAACATCCTCCACATTGAAGTCAGACTGTTATAAGTGAGATTTAAGCCAAGTACTTGACATTCTTGACATGACCTGTGGAGACGGTGGGAGAAAGTGACGTTCGCAGTATGTCACAGGGGATTCGGTTTCAAAGCCTTACGTTATCTGAAGGGCTAACCAAAATAGCATTTCTCTTATAAGGCATTTAAATGAAGGAAATGACATCTCAGTCTTGAGGGTAATAAAGTTGGGGCAGTGCTGCTTGAGAATGTCCCACCGTCTCGTCTGGTACTTGTCTATTTGTCATCTACATAACCCTGATATTTGTTATCAGGGTTATGTAGGGCATAAGTTTAATATGTAGTTTTATATAAATACATAATGAAAATACAACACTAAATTTGGTGAATTTGCATGAATGCACCCTTAAAAGGCACTGTTCACTCAAAAATTTACTGTAAGTCCTGTTAATGTTTATACTTCAACATGTATGACTTTCTTTCCTCTCAAGGACACAAAAGAAATTATTCAGAAAAATGCTAAAATAAAATAATATAAATAAAGATTTGATGCTTATAATGATTAAAAAGTAAAATATAAAAAAAATATATTAAATAAAAATAAAATAAAATAAAATAAAATAAAATAATAAAATTAAATTAAATTAAATTAAATTAAATTAAATTAAATTAAATTAAATTAAATTAAATTAAATTAAATTAAATTAAATTAAATTATGACATTTATGATGATTATATAAAAGGAAAGAAGACATAAAATAAAATTAACATAATGATTACGAATTAAAATGAAACTTTAAAAAAAAATAAACATGCCCATATGAAAACAAGTAAAGAACAATTCATTCAATTAAACTGGTATTTTGGTGGGCTATTAACATGCTAAAATCATTTATTATCCTTACTTAAATTTTTTTTTCTTTTTTTTTTTTTTTGGGGGGGGGGGTATATATGTGTAAAGATATGCGTATATATGTACACATTTATCAACAAAATCATGCAGGGTAAAAGTATTTTCCAGATGTTTCCTATATTTCTTAAAGTTCCATCTTCTCGTCCAAATTAGAGCCCACAATAAACAGATCAAGAGTTGTTTACCACAGTATTTCCTAGGATGTAAATTCCTTTCCACTGATTGTTAAGGCTAGTCAGTGGAACAGTCTGTTAATAATGTTTGTCTCATTTTCATGTGCTAGTTTCCTAACAGGTGCAGGAGATGACTCAAGAAAATTTACAACTTTTCTGTTATATAAATAGCTTACAATGTGAGTGAGGCTGTCGAACAAATGTAGCTTACTGTATGTGTCCATTTATGAAAGCCCAACTTCTTATACACTTTTTTCACTTTCTGTTATATCTAAAGCACAGCTACTACACTGGATTGCTGTTGTCTAATCTGAGCAAATCTGGACAAACAAATGCTGAATATTTACAGTACATGTGTGTGATTCCACATGATGGTAAAGTCAGGATCTGTAAGAGATGGGCTGCCTGTACATATGTCACAGTCATAGAGTTTGGCATGTCAATCATTGAGGAAGTCAGGTCACATGCAGTCTCCAATAACCTTCGTCCCACTTCTAACAGACACATACACACGCAACTTCAAGCTGGCCCCAGTCAAGAGTAAACAAGCTCAACAAGTCCATTGCTGGTGACCTCAATCTCACAGCAAGATTTAAAGACCTCATGAATTGGGAGATCAAAATTTGCTTCATGTATGAGGTCACTGAATTATATACCAAACCGAAAACTCCCAGTTTAACTTAAAACCAGCTTATATTGAAGCAAATCTAGCCAAATGTACAGCCAAATGAGCCGTTTTGTTTTGCTATAGTGTGAATAAACTCCACCAAAAAAGATCATCTGATCAATTTGTTCTCAAGACAACAAGTGCAATACCAAGCTGTGGAAAAAATATGTTCTGGAAAAATCTTTGCATTGACTTTGACCTTCTGACACCAACATTAGGAAGGAACACCTGAACGAATGCTTTTTTTTTTATTTTAACTACTTTTAATGACGTTTCAGACCTTGCTAGTAAGAACTTCTTTTTTCTTCTTTGACTTTAATTTTCTACAAATTCATTTAAAGACATTTATGGCATAGTTCGATGATGGATTTTAGACTGAAACTGAGACTGAAATTTTACGAAGGCTTTCGAAACTAGTAATAATTCATTATTCATGCATTGCATCATTGACAAATTAAGGCTGTGCTGCAACAGCAGATTCTCAAGGGATTTCAAAGGACTTTTATCTCTAAAGTAGGAAATCGGGAGAGAGAGGAACATTGTATCTGCTTGTGTCATGAGTGTAACCACCGGAATGTTGCCTGTGACTCATATAAGCAAGAGTTTGGTTTCACTTAAAGACTATCAATTTCTGGAGATTTGTCATGCATTCCATTCATACAAGAAGCATGCATGGATATGAGTAGTAGGGCTGGGTCAATTGCTGAATAATCACTTTTTCGTCTGTAGTACTGTACATGTTATTTTGCAAGATGTATTTCGGTTAGGGCAGGGCAATTAATAGAAAAGTAATCGAAATCGACATTCAGAAGCAATCAGATTTTTTCAAGTGATTTTTTTCAATTACTTTCCTTACCGTGTGAGGAATCACGTGACCCTGCTCTGTTAAGGCTGATTTATACTTCTGCATTAATTGCATGGGTATGGTCCAATGCAGCTTTCGCGCGGTCACATACTGTACCTACACATCTCTCAAAAAATGTAACTACACATCATACGTTTGCACGACATTGACAATAATTGAAAACTTCACCAGAGATGCTTTGGGACGACATTTTCTATTACGATACAATTATTATTTACATTAAAATATTTGTTTACAGAAAATGCAAGAAATGCACTGTTTAAAATATTATTTACAGGATATACAAGAGTTATTTTATGTAGAAGAGATACTGCTTATTTTCTACTTTTAACAAGAAAAATATTGAAAACAAATAATTTTGTATCCAAAAGTGCAAGTTATTTATTTTAACTTTTTTACAAGCAAAAAGTGACTGTTGGTTTTAGGCAGTGTGTGTTTTAATTTCACTTGTTCAGCACTGATGTTCAATAA